TCCTAAACCTTGTGGACAGCCTTCCCAGAAGAGTTGAAGCTGTTCTAGCTGCAAAGGGTGGACCGACGTCATATTGAACCCTATGGATTAGGAACGGGATGTCACTTAAGCTCATATGTGAGTCAAGGCAGGTGAGCAAATACTTTTGGCAATATAGTGTATGAGGTATTAGCTCGACCCATCTGCCCAAACTTTCTGATGTGATCCTTTAGAAAGGGATCAAATTCAGCCAGGACCTCCAGAATACCAAGGTAGTTCCCATTGAGAGGAGACCCTAACGATTCATTTTTACCCCTAAATGCAAGGCCCCTTTCTGCAAGGAATTTAATGACTGCAACAACTCTTTGTAACACTTGCCTCCAATAGCTGCTCTCTGCCTGAAACTGTTTGAACAGGTCTGCATCAACTGTGGCACCTTTGGCGCGGTTCAAGACTGCTTGCATGCAGGTTATGTGCTCAGCACTTCGCTCATGTTCACCAAATCTTTCTGAGTGTTTCCAATCACAATAGCCTGTCACAAAAGAATGCGTTTTTGGGGAAAACAGTTTGCATAAGCAGTAAACATTACCAGTAGAGGGAGAGTACATCAGCCACTCTCTTTGTACTCGTTGTCCATTGGGCAAGTGTGAAGTAAAATGTTCATTGTTTAGGCATCGGGTTTTGCCTCCTAGCCCACTGTTCCTCACATAAGCTGGATAATGGCTGTGACAGTTGTGAAATGATTTTGCACCTCTTTGAATAAGAACTTCCTTCATTGACTCAGTGAGGGTCTCAGCCCATTTAGCGGGATCACTAGGTAGAGTTGTCACTGTTGTTGTGTTGAAGAAAGATTCAGCTCATTTTCTATGCTGTCCAGAGGTGCAGTGACCTCACATTCATCCGAGCAACTGGCTACTGCTGAATTGGTTGAATCATAAGCATCAGAAGCATTTGGTTCAGTGTCTACACTTGTAGTGGTCTCAGGATCTTGGGAGCTACATGCTAGCTCAGGTGCATTGCTAACCTTAGCTGAATTTGCAGTAGCATTTATAGAATTGCTTTCAGCAGATGTCTTTGTACTGAAGAAGCTGGAGATATTTGGAACACTCTCAAGTAAAACTGATTCCTTTTTTTTCTTTTCTTGCTGAATTTTTTTTCTAGCTCCTCCACTTAAACGTTTATGATCCATATTTCCCTTCTTTCTTTGCACATTGGCTCTTTGCCTATCACAACAGATAAACCAACTATGTGTGTGTGTGTGTGTGTGTGAGTTTGTTTGTGTGTTTATGATCGGTGCTGCTTCCTTCAAGTGTGTGAGGTGATTTAGAAAACTAACAACCCAGCATCAACACTCCAAAGCAGAGAATAACAGCTTACTAGCATAGACAATTGAGAGCAGAGAATCAACTGATTCGTCTGATAGACAGCAGGAGAGCAGAGTGGTCAGTGATGATCGAATCAAGAAAATGTCTAAATGGCAAGGGAACAGACTGATTTGTACTGAGGAGAAAGAGAGAGAGAGCCAATTACAGTGAAATATATTCCAAAAGAGCCAAGTGACTAGCTGAAGGCAGGGACAAATGCCTTGGAGTGACCAACAAGAGTGCAAAGTACCAAATGGCAAAATGTGGGAAGACCAACAGGCAGATCTGCTTTTACCACTTATCTTCACAACCAAAAAGTCACTAAATGATGTTTTTAGTCGCTAGCCAGGTATGGCCAAAAGACACGAAATCTAGCGGCAAAGTCGGTCAATCACACTGACAGTGAAACAAATATTTTGAAAAGATAATAATTGTACAACTTTGTGCACTTTTGTCTTCTATCTAAATATTTTCACAAAGGACACCAAAATGTTGCTATCTGCAGGCAGCTTGCTAGCTATGATGGCAGCAACGATGTCTGCCAGACAGGAGAGAGTGGTCAGTGACGATCGAATCGAGAAAATGACAAAATGGGTCAAAGACCAAAAAGTTATTAACTGACAGCAGTGACAAATGTCAGACTGTAAACTTTTTCGAAAGAAAAGGACAAAATGGGAAGATGCTGATAGTAACAGCAAAATGGAAAATATAAGAATTTCCAAGTAATGCTCAACTCAAGTGTGTGTGTGTGTGTGTGCGCGCGCGTTAAACTTCTTGTTGAATGATTTCAAATTATCTCTGAGTCTGAACTGAGGGAAAGGAAACCAAATTTTGAGCAGTCTCTCACGAGTTCAAAATACCAAATGAGGAGATTCTAAAAGAACAGACCGGTTTATGAAAGACTCGATGGGGGAGGGGCACAGCTAAGAATACTTGAGTGAGATTCTGTGATCCAAATTCGAGATAGAGCTTTTTGATAATGATAATTTGTCAGAGGAAGGTTGTGTAATCAAAATTTGAGAATGAGCTTTGTCAATCAATCAAGAATATTTGCATTAAGTTCTGTGATCAAAATTCAGAAACAACCTTTAATAATTGATAAAGAATATATGAGTGAGGTTGTGTGATCCATCCAATTTGAGAATTAGCTTTGATAATAATGATTGAGAGCCTCTGGCCCTCTGTGGATCATGGCCGCGGGGCAAATTTTGCCTGGCCCCTTGGGGCCTCTGTGGGTCGTGGCCGCGGGGCCAAGTTGGCCTGGCCCCTTGGGGCCTCTGACCCTCTATGGATCGGGGCCAAGTTGGCCTGACCCCTCGGGGCCTCTGGCCCTTTATGGATCATGGCCGCGGGGCCAAGTTGGCCTGACCCCTTAGGACCTCAGGCCCTCTGTGGGTCGCGGCCGCGGGGCCAAGTTGACCTGGCCCCTTGGGGCCTCTGGCCTTCTGTGGCTTGCGGCCGCGGGGCCAAGTTGGCCTGGCCCTTTGGGGCTTCTGGCCTTCTGTGGGTCGTGGCCGCGGGGCCAAGTTGGCCTGGCCCCTTGGGGCCTCTGACCGTCTATGGATCGTGGCCGCGGGGCCAAGTTGACTTGGCCCCCTGGGGCCTCTGACCCTCTATGGATCGTGGCCGCGGGGCCAAGTTGGCCTGGCCCCTTGGGGCCTCTGACCGTCTATGGATCGTGGCCGCGTGGCCAAGTTGGCCTGGCCCCTTGGGGCCTCTGACCGTCTATGGATCATGGCCGCGGGGCCATGGTGGCCTGACCCCTTGCGGCCTCTTACCCTCTATGGATCATGGCCGCGGGGCCAAGTTGGCCTGACCCCTTAGGACCTCAGGCCCTCTGTGGGTCGCGGCCGCGGGGCCAAGTTGACCTGGCCCCTTGGGGCCTCTGGCCTTCTGTGGCTTGCGGCCGCGGGGCCAAGTTGGCCTGGCCCTTTGGGGCCTCTGGCCTTCTGTGGGTCGTGGCCGCGGGGCCAAGTTGGCCTGGCCCCTTGGGGCCTCTGACCGTCTATGGATCGTGGCCGCGGGGCCAAGTGGGGCCTCTGACCCTCTATGGATCGTGGCCGCGGGGCCAAGTTGGCCTGGCCCCTCGGGGCCTCTGACCGTCTATGGATCGTGGCCGCGGGGCCAAGTTGGCCTGGCCCCTTGGGGCCTCTGACCGTCTATGGATCATGGCCGCGGGGCCAAGTTGGCCTGACCCCTTAGGACCTCAGGCCCTCTGTGGGTCGTGGCCGCGGGGCCAAGTTGACCTGGCCCCTTGGGGCCTCTTACCCTCTATGGATCATGGCCCCTTGGGGCCTCTTACCCTCTATGGATCCTGGCCGCGGGGCCAAGTTGGCCTGGCCCCTTGGGGCCTCTGGCCCCCTGGGCCTGGGCCCGGTAGGCCCGGTCATTAATCCACCTATGCCTGGTTGGCGAAGAGTTCTTCTCCATCTTGGACTGTGCCATACGCTGAATCCAATATGTTCAGATACACAGTAGGTCGAGTATCTGAATTTAAATGCTTCAGCCGATCAGCAGCTGGGGGAAGTAAACTCTCCACGATGCTCCTTGACCACTGAAGCTCAGAAACTGATGGGTCATTTAACAACACATCTACTCCTGAATGCCAGGTCTCGTAGTCTGCTTCATGTGCTGGTCTAGGCAGCCGTCCAAAAAACACTCTGAGCCTTTGTAGATGGTAAGCACTTTCCTCAGTTTTTATAATGTGTTCCACCACGTAGCGCTGGACTACAGGTGGTTGGATGTCATCATCGGTCATACAAGCTTACTTTCCAAAAGAAGATTTGCAATATTTCCAGACTCACTTTCATAAGGATGGCCTTATGTAAACATATCACCAGAATGATTGACAATTAGGAGGACCACTTATTTAGATGATCCACTCGGTAAAAGAACATCCTCCTCTATATTAAGTTCCCTGTTTGAGGGATAGTACTTGATCAAGCCTTTTCTAAGATTAATTAAAAAAAAAAAGTAACAACAGCTGGTATAAATTATACTAATATATTGGCTCAATATCATATCTGCTAGATCTGAAAGCTGCATTTAAAAAGTTGTATAGAGAAACCCCTAATCTCAGTCTGCATCTAAAATCTCTGATATTCGCAAACTGACGAAGGAACAAAAACTCGCCTCATATCCTTTAAGCAACCCATTCAGTGATACTGAAAGCTCAGTTATTCTCAGACTGTTCAGAACTGTTTGAGTAATGTCACTTGATTAGGCCTTTTTTTAACACTCCATACCACAGAATAAGTAATAAAAATTTGTAGAAGTCATACTGATATAACGGGTCAAAATCAAAATCGGCGTTCAGTGAAAGCTGCGACGTCTGCATCAAGTTATATTGGGACATCCCTAATTACTGCTTCACCTTCTTATAATACTTTATTATAATCCTATGTCCAGCATAATAGTTTAAATAGTTTATTTTAACTGCAATCAACCTAAATTAAAAAAAGGAGTAATTTAAATACAGTAGCATTGCACTAATGCTAAATTTTCTTTATATTGTTCAGCCCTACTTGGGACTTTTTTGAATAAATGTGTAAGAATGAGTTTCAAACAGATGCAGAACTATAACACCATTTGGAAATAACTTGACAGACCAGAGGGAGGGAGAAACTGTATTTATGTAGATGAATGAACAACTATTACCTTCAGGGCCCGTTGAAAGGTGCTTATTGAGAGCAAAGCCAGGTCTTGCTGCTCCTCAGCGTATCTCACTAGATACACATACACAAGTTTCTTCAGCTGCAGAAGGAAGGAAAAAAAGAGAATAAAAATTTAAGTTGAAAATACATGAGATGGTCAAAAGTATTAAGTAATATCGCCAGATCAATACATTCGGGTGTTCCTATCATTTCCATGGTTGTACTAGACATAGATACTAGTAGGTTGGAAAAGGTTGGAAAGAACATAAACAATTTGATGTCATCTGTAGCTGCGTACCTATCGTTCGTTCTCAAAAGTCGAAATTTCAAACTTCTAGTTCGAACATTCTACCGGGACGCCCCGGAAAGCTGGATTTGCAAGTCGGCAACACGGCCGTACGGGACTTCTACATTGGATTTGGCTTATACTCATCAGCAGTAATGAAGCTTGTTTACTTTGACTGTTCTTCACAGTTCTTTCTAACCTACGTAACATTCAGTCAGTCTTGCAAGGAGCAGTTTTAATGCTGTATTTGTACTTCTTGTAACAGCGGCCATTTGCAAACAATGGAGGACACGAAACATGCAAAATTAAACTCCATTTCTTCATGAATTAGGTTGCTTTGACGTCCCAGTTCCCAGGTTAATGGAGGCAGAATTAGACCTGGATTTTATAAGACCCCACTTCCCCTTCTTGACTACAACCTTCATATCTCAGTTTCTCAGAGAAAACTGATGCAGTACAAGTCTTGATCAGTCTTTGACAGATTGGTAAGTTGTTGATTCACACTGCAGGAAGCAGAATAAACTAGAGTTGCAAAGAGGTGATATCTAGTGTCGTGAAGTAGGCTGTTTTCAGGTGAATCATCAAAGACCGTGCAAAAAGAATCTCAGACAATTTTGCTTCTAAACTACATATTCAATTCTGGAAAGTCTGCAATTTGTGTAGACTGCTTCAGGCTGGTGCAGGCCATTCACCTTATTTACCATTTAGCATTTGTTTTAAATGACATAGACAGAAACTCCTTTCCTGTCATCTTTCCAATCTTAATACCTAAATATCAGTTGAAGGCTCCCAAACAGAAAAGGTGGCATGATGCCAACCCATCTTAATCACAATATGACCAGAGCTCCTCCATTTTGGCACCTGAGGTCTGGTTTCTTCACCTTTTAGATGTTCTTCTGCTTCCACTTCCACACCTTAATGAAATGGCTGAATTTCCTTCCTGAGCATAAAATCAACTTCTCCAGAGTCCTGCTAATGCCCTGTTTATTTGACACCGGTGTCTTGAAGCAGAGACGCATCTAAAAGGTGAACGACTGAACCTGAAGGACTGGAGGAACCGTGCCTTATAACCTCCAAGGAAGAAAATCAATGACAATGACTAGTAGGAATAGGAAGGGATTACGGAATAAGTGTGGCAAAACAAAGACCTTGAAGGCCGACATCCCAAGTTCCAAAATCTAATTTCAGGGAGATGCTTATCGCCTGGAATGCTTGTTGATTAGATCATCTCTTTGGACAGACACGCTGCACAGGTTACACAAGCAACCTCCTCCCCACGTCCCGCACTCTCTTGTTGTGCCTATCGAAGTAGTTCTAATCCACACATGATGCACAAATTATTGTATTGCCTGCACGCTCTCACTCATATTTTAAAAATCCGGGATAATTTATCCGACTCACGGGCATCCGTGAACAACTATCTATATCAGGGAGACTTAGGGTGTCTGCCTTAATGGTGGGACCAGAGGATACGGATCCAAAAAAAGTTTTTCTTTTTAGGCACTGATTCTGCCATAAACTAAGGTGTGGATGATATTCTGAGGGGAAGTTGAGGTAGATTTTGGGCTGGCGAGAAGATCTGGAAAACTGTCCAGTTGTTCAGATGGAGAAAAAAAAAAAGGACCATCTGACTTCAGCCATGGACAGAGGATATGTTGGTTGGTTAGATTCGACTTATGACGCTGATGGATCTTAATGTCATGTTTCCATTATGGTGCATAAAGGACTGGGAAACATGGCAGAGCAGACGGTGGAGGTGGTCCCAACATTAAGGAAAAAGGGAACAGAGTTTTTTTTTCAACTATCACACTTCTGAAAGTGGCTTAAGACGTGTTTGTATTTGGTAACATTAGCTGTGCCCGTTCAATGGCTAAGATATCAAATGCTAACAATAATCTCATAATCATTTAGTTGTTTTCACCATGAGGTGATTTTCTTAATTTTTTTTTTTTTTTGAGTAAAGCCACAGTTGGATGTGACCTGTGTTCCTAATGTAAATAATGAACAGCTTACTTCAGGAATGTTTTATTACATTTCTCAAACAGAACTCTGATAAAATAATAGGTGCTTTACGGTTACAGGAAATTATCCTAAAATTCAGAGTGGTGGAAAAAAAGAAGGATGATGAAATATAACTTACTGGAATAACTATAATTTTATATATAAGCTGATCTAAGCTCAAGGTCAGGAGGAAGGTTAAGGTTCAGGTAAAATCACAGAGGGCTTTAGCCAGTAATCTGGTTTCAAATCCGGAGCAGAGCACCATAGTTGTCAATCATGGTTCTGGTCATTACAGCTGGAATTAACAGCATTACTCACGATAAAAAGGGAGACACAACCCATCTGCCTCCAAGGTTCTGCCCTCTTCCACCACAAATCACACAACCAAGTAAACCAGGAGCTGCTGGGAAGCTGATTGAGGAAGCTAGAAGTTCATAAGGCCCCGAGTTAAATAGATACTTGTTCTGTACAAGCTTAGTTTTTGGAAAAAAGAATAAAAGTAGTCACCAGAAATCATGCAGCAGCTGTCAATAATCTGCACTTGTGCTTTTTGGATTGTGCAATAATTAGTGTGTCAATGGACTCTCACAGAGTTGAAGAGCGGGAGAGTGATTTTTAGAGAGATGCATATGATAAAGAGAAGAGATGAAGTACAGAGACCTCACACAACCTGAGCAGCTGGTGCAAACCAGGCAGGAGAGAGAAGATGTGACTGTAGGCTGCCTCTTTCCAATTATATCCACCGGCCTGTTCACGCTCCCTGCCGCCTGGCTGTTTGGGCTGCATGCCTCGTAAGCAGCGCCCGGCCTCTGGCGCCCCGCTCACATGCTGCCCCTCACACCACATGATTATTCTGCTTCTGCTAATCAATATTCACAGGGTCGGGCATGGACCCCCTTCCAAAACAGCTGCTTAGTTTGGTCATAGGCTGAAACCGGCATTGCAAGAGGCTATGGAGAACGAGTCTGATCACGCATAAGAAACTTGTCTAAAAAATAAATAAATACTAAAATTATTCATCACTTTCCTTCTACTGTAAAGATAAGCAATAGTTGCTTATTGGAATAATAAGAAACTATTGCTTAGCTTTAAAACTTGTTGGGAAAAAAAAACAAGAAAAATTCATTAAAATATTTGTTGTATTAAAAAAAAAAAACTCTTATAAAGCACCTTTTGCAACCTTTTTTTTTAAAGAAAACTGGATGAAGCTAAATTATTTAATCATTTTATTAAATTCATATATATATATATATATATATATATATATATATATATATATATATATATATATATATATATATATATATATATATATATATATATATATATTGTTTAATCAAATAATTTAATTGATATTATATCAATTATTTAATCACTGGAAACATGATTTAATAATTTCAAGCATTGTATCAAATCAGCTTATTTTAAGAGTAAAAATACTAATTACCTGCACAATTTAAGGGTAAATAAACTTAATTTAAGACATATTTACATTTTTCTAGATCGTTTTCCCACTGATTGCATTGAAAATAGGTTCCGGATTCAAGCATATTTCAGCATTCCGTGGCGTTAAGCAAAGAAGTCAGTGTTATGCTGAAAATCAGGTTGATACGCACATTTCGTATAAAAGTTTTCAATCAGAGAGAAAAAAGCAACTTTTCTGCTTCCCTGTTAAAAAGTAGTCCCACGTGTATTAAGCTTCTGTTAGGAATCCAGTGTGTTTGGGCTGTGTTTGTTTTTTGTGTTCTCTCCCTCCACCAACAGGTGGCGCCCTGTTGTCGTTGGTCCTCCCACACACCTGCGGCTGGTTGCGCTCATTACTGAGGACTCTTAAGCAGTGGACTGTCACTACCTCGATGCCAGAGTGTTTGCCAGTTTTGGGAATTCTAGCCAAGCTGAGTTTTGCGGAGTCAAACTGAGTCCTTGTCTCTCTGAGTTCTAACCTTGTTTTTGTCTTTGCCTTTTTCGGCAGGAAGACATCCTGCAAACTGGATTTTTGGCCTTCTCCCCCTGGAAGGATTGTTTTGAGCTTTACACTGAGCAGAGGGTTAATCTCCACACGACCCGTTCAAGTTCTCCTGGAAATCTAAGTGGCAGTCCGCTCCATTGCTCCTCAAGGAACCAACCTAACCAAAAACCTGTCCGCCCTCCAATGAGCCCCCCAATCTCTGGATAAACCCACACCGACTGGATTCTGGGAAGAGAACCTTTTTCTGCTAACGTGAGTCCCGTTCATCTCTGATTTTTGCAAGACGTTGTTCAAAGTTCCCACGGACCCTGAACAAACCTCTGAACTTCCCTTCTCACTTCCAGTTCCGGTTCACCAGCTCTCTGAGTTACCCCAGATCAACTCTATTGATTATTTCAATAAAGCTGTTAAACTTTTACTCTGGTTCTCTGAGTGGTTTCCTGCATGTGGGTCAGATCTCTTAAAAACATCATGACAGCTTCCACCGATCCACCCTGTATTAAGAGTTGGATATAAACAATAGATCCTCCCCGCATTCAGTTCATACACAGCCTCATCCACTTTGTGCCTCAGGTAACAGTCTTAAAGTTAAATTTAATAACATAAAATAATTTATGTAGTTTTTGTTCAGGTTAAAAAAACCTTATTAAATACTAGAAATTATTTCTTAGAGTTTCTCTTAAATTTGAAACTTATTTTGAATTTACACTAGTAGAACTAGTGTAAATTCTTTGTTCTTTAGATATTGATCTATTTTTCCTTCCACCTATAGAAATCACTGATCGCTTTTGGCATATTTAAAAAACATGTTTATTCTTAATTCATAATGGGTTTTTTCCTCTATAATCAATGATATGTCATCATTTACAGGTAATTTTAATGAAATATATTAAAAGATATATTTTTTCTTTAAAGCTGCAGTTAATATTGTTCAGTAAATAAAAGCAGATTACTGCTAAACTTACATGTTTTGTCATTACGACTATATTCTTTCCTCTTCTACTTTGATTTGGAACCACAATGAATTGACCGTATGATTAATAAAAGTTTCTGAAATAAGCCATCCATGTGATCCAAATTCTGCTTTATATAAAGGAATTTGGTTCTAGCATGAGGCTAAGTGAAGCACCGTGTTGAGTCATGCAAGAATCATAGCTTAAGTAATCTGCTTCTCAACAGTGTCATACCTCAATATTCTTGCTTGCAACATTCTTCACCACTGCAGGAAACAAGTCAGATGCATTTTTCCCCTTAGAAATGAGCTAAAAATAAAGAAAAACATAGGGGTGATTTTCTTCTGGAGAAAACAGAATTATAAAGTTTAAAAAAATAAGGAACTCACTTGAACAATCCTCTTCATGGCCTCCAGTTTTAAAGACTCCTTGTTGCTCTCCAGCATCTCTTTCAGGTCTTCATTTCTGGGAACAGAAGATATTTCAAGTTAACTCTACAGTAGGAACATTGTGTGTCGACAGATGCTATTTTAACTAATCAGTTTCAAAGTTCCAGCTGGGTCAAAGGTGCTGTGAAATCTCCATGCTTTGGACATCTGTCTGCGCTTCAGCTGTTGCAGCTAGACATGCAAAGGTAACGCCGCACAATGACAGCACAGTCTGGAGAAAAAAAAACACACAACATTGTCCTCACAATAAGTCCAGTATAACCAGTTTATCGCTCACATGATGGCAATGATCATGCTTTAGGTAGCGCGGATCCACAGCGTTCCTCAGACGACAAAACTCAGGGCCTGATCCATGCAGAGGATGATTGAGATGCTCCATTGTTTCAGCAAATATCCGATTCCCGTGAAGAATTTGGTTAAGACCATTCAATCACAACCAGCAAATGCTTTATTTTGACCTTATTTCACCTCATACAACCATGTGAAAAAGGTGGATGATTTAGAAAAACATAAAACAGCCAGATATGGATCATATACAGGTACAAAGATCAGATTTTGGCTGCATTAGCTTGTGAGGCGAATGTAGCCTTAGATTAACAGTTTTGCAGCATTGATAACATTAGGGCTGCAAATAACGATCATTTTGCAAATAGATAAGTCTGTTGATTATTTTTTTCAATTAATCAATTAGTATTAGATAGCCAAAGATTCTTTAGAAAAGACTTTTTATGAAATTAAACCAGGTAAAACTTTTCGACTTGAGTTCTGGATAGAGCATATTGACAGACGAAATTGTTTTTTTTTCTTAAATGCAAAATATTTATATTCTTTTTTTACAACTTTGATATAATTCCTGCTCTAAGGGGGTCACTCTGTCAGCTAAAGGAATGTTTTACAGTCTCTATACTCCAGTTAACGATTAATCGATTCCTAAATTAGTTGACTATTTTAATAATCGATCAATCACAATTAATCTGATTAATCGTTTCAGCTGAACTAGTCTAATTCCAGCTAAAACCAGGGGGGAAAAAACCTTTGACCTTTTTAGCTATTCTCTTATAAGACATTTTCACAAAATAAAAGATGAAGTTCCAGTGATTTATTTGCTGGCATCCAACCTAGTTTATGAAATAAAGGTCCCATTGTTCAGACTGAAAAAAAAAAATGGATCAGGTGTGCATTAAGATTAAAGTTTAAACTAATAAAAAAAATAACAAGGGTTGCACAGATTAGAAAATAAGGGCAGATATCTAATATTAATTTTGTCCTTCTAGTTGCTAATTGCTGTAGACCACTGCTTCCCTTTGAACACCATGAACAACGCTGCAGACATTGCTTCCCTACTTCAGGTAAACGCCCCAATCAGTCACATGACCAACAAAAACTACCACATGACCAATCCCCTCCACCTCCCCTGCTGAAACATTAACTTTATGGAAATATTGTTTGTTAATATCAACCTCATTTTACAAATTGGACCGATACAGATATTAATTCCAATTATATCGGGCATGCATAAAAAAAAAATGATTATAAAACTGTCAGCATGTATTAACATTGTCATAAAGGTAGTAATTATCATAGAATATAATATATTAATAATTTTGTTAAGACTTTAAATTAGATAAAGCCTGGAATCATACATTTCCATGTGAAAAAATACAGACCTATTCCATACTTGTAGTTTTGGTTTGGTTCTGGTTTTGCTAAATAAAACAGCGATTTGAGCTTTTCTATCAGATCGATTTAAGCCTCTAACTCATATTTCTATTCTATCCATGTAAAAAACAAAGATCTGATGATTTTAGTTGATCCACAGTCTGAAAAAATAACCCCAGAGAGCGTGTGTGGAATAGAGCCTGGAGCTCTGGGTGGTCTTACTGCTGTACCCGGCTTTGTGCGTCTCCTTGGGTTTGCTGCTGGTTTGCGTGAGGGCCTGCTCCTCCTGACTGAGCTCAGGCTTCAGACTGAGCTGTAAGCTCTCAGCAGACACCAGCACTGTCCTCATGGCTCCTGCTGCCTCAGAACGCAAGGACGACAACCCTCCGTTCATCCCGGCTTTCCCCTACAGCAGTCCTCTCACGGACTCCGCAGCCTCTGCTGGATGTAAATCCACAAAACCAGCGGCAGTGCCGTCCCAGTCAGACTCCTTCAGGCCGTGCGTCGTGTTTGTTCTTCAGAATCAATTTAAAGTTGTCATCTTTTCACAAGAGGCTAAGTCAAAAACAGCAGAAGCTCCACAGACTTTGTCAGTCACCTCTCTCTTCCTCTTCTTGTGTGCATAAAAAAAGTCACAAGATTCCCCCGTCAAGCAGCTAATGGCAAGTCATCCTTACGCCTGAGGATAGTGTAGCTCTTTCCTAATGCTGTCCCCTCCTGCTGGTCAGATGTCATTCAAGCATTTCTTCTCCCTGCTAACACATGGAGCCCTTTCCTATGGAAAGCCAACCACCTCACCTGCCTCCTGGCTTTGAATGTGACTCAGCAGCACTTCTCTCTAGGGGAAAAAGGAGGGCCTTATCTACACTGGTGGGTAAACACCAAGCCACTTTTCCCTCACCACCACTGCACAACAATCCACTTTAGGCTGACACCGCCGAGCCTGCATACCCAGCCAAGTTTGGCAGGCAAGGCCAACAGGACAGGCCTTTAATCAGAGATAACCGAACCAGAATGAATGTCAGGAAATAGCCTTGAAGATGTCGAGCACAAAAGAATGATTTTTTTTTTTTGCAAAGGGAGAAATCTGTCCGCAACATTTTCAACCCTGATTGTTTTCCACAAGAATAAGAATAAAGGTTTAAATAGTTTGGACTTCAGACTTTCCTATTCTATTTAATTGTAATGTGTTTTAAGTATTTGTTAGCTACTTTAGTTGTATTTTTTGTTATGCTAAGTTTCAGTTATAATTTCAGTCTTTTATTGAATACTAACCTACTGGGGTCAATACCAAAGAAAAATTAAAAATATAAACAAAATCTCCAATCAGGACAGACCGCTGCAGCAACTTAAGTGACCTGACTGCTATACCTGTTATCTGTTGTGTAATGTGGGTAGTAATTAGTCACATTTATTCAACTTCTGAAGGGGGGAAAAAGGAGTTTTCTGCAGAAACCTAAAAATTACTAGGGGTGTAAATAATAATCATTTTGCGTCTGCAGGAGTATCGATTCATGTTTTTTTTTCTTCCGGTCTATTTTTATCCATTTGATCCTGGACGTAATTCTGACTCCCGTGCTGCGGTGGCGCTAAACCTATTTTTCCCTCCTACCTCACTTCCTTTAGTCACTACCCTCTTTCAAATTGCACACACACTTGCGTGAACACAGAGACATTATTATTCAGTGAAGGAAGTTTTTATAGGCCTAGGTGGAGTACTACTTTGCTACTTCTGTTATTTGCTGTTGTTTCTCAAATAAAATGCATAATGATATTACAGATTTCATTAATTTATTTAAAATTTGAAACATTGTCTAGCCTGTAAGGTAAAAAAAAATAAAAAATTAACAAATTAATAGAATCAAATCGTATTGTGGTGTATTCTCGTGGAGTATCGAAAATAATCAAATCGTTTGGTCAGGAAATTGATACTGAATCGAATCGCCACGACGGGTGTGATTTACACCCCTAAATATTACAACAATATTATTTAATCTTACTGTTAAATATTGCTTCCTTTATTCGACAAAAATTGGCTTCTTTTAACTAGGGTTGTTTTAAAAACAAAAAAATAAAAATACATTTTGGACCAACTCACATAATTCCTAAAGACTGATTTATTTAAAAATAAATAATAATTATCACCGTCCTTAAAGCCACAATTAAATGAGCTATTTATGCAATACTGGTATCAATATGTTACACAACCTGTAGGCATGTTATTAAGGTTACATCTAAAAAAGAAAAGTTTAATAGCCGAAAAACAGCTTAAAATCAGACCAAATCAAAAAGAATTGCTCCTAAATCTTAGGAATTGGAATCAAATTGATTGTTGACATAGGAATCGATACCCAGCCCTTGTTTTAACCATGAATGCAGCACAGACAAACATCTAAAACCAATACTACACATGCTCAGTTGTTTTCTTCTTACATTTATCTTAATACTAAATCCAATATTATCAGTTTCTCAGTACTTGAGAAGCCATTTTCAGATCATTTTTCCTCCTACTTTTTGTATAACTTTGAAGTCATGCTAGTACTGCTGCTCTTACTTTGGTCAAATGTTTGGCTAATCTGCATCCAATGTGTTTAATAAAAAACACATCAGTACACAGCTGCACTCAAAACAAGAAAATAAAAAGGTTACACAGACAAAATACGCAACTAGGCAACCAATTACTTTCCTAATCCTCCTGGCATAGAAACCGCAAAGAAATGTTGATTACTCATCTAAAACGTGGCAAAAAACGCACTTAGTCAGCCTGTGATTGTGCAAGTTGTCCTACTTAGAAAGATGAGAGGGTCTCATTGTCACATTGACAGATTAAAAAAAAAAAATCTCAATACTTTAGAGCATAACCTTCGTTGGTAATTACAGGGGTCTACAGTTTCTGTCAGTCTCCATCAGGTTTGCTGAGACTGAAGCTGCTACTTTGGTCCATTCCTCCATCAGATCTCCTCTAGGGCAGAGATATTTTGGTGCTGTCGCTGGGAACCACAGACTTTTGAATTCCTCCACAAACTTTCCATCTTAGGTTGAGGTGTGGTTGATGGATAGGCCCCTCCAGGACCTCAAACTGTTTTTAACAGAGACATTCATTGTCCTGCTCAAAGACCCAGCCATGTCCTTTCCTCAATCCTAACTGATGCAAGAAGGCTTCACCATTGATTCTTCCCTAACGACAGATGAATCTTTCTGACCCCTTTGCAGAAAAATAACCCAAAACATGATGCTTTAATGCCAATGCTTCACAGTAGGTGTTCATGGGATGCAGCTCAGGATATCATCTTCCTCCAAACACACAAAAAACATTCTTTTTGGTTCCATCTGACCACATGATGCACAATGTCATTACGTGGATATTTATTTTTCCTCATATACCGTATTTTCACGACCATAAGGCGCACCGTACTAAAAGGCGCACTCTCAGTTATGTGTCCCATTTCTGTATTTAACACACACATAAGGCGCACCGGACTATAGGGCGCGTTTTTTATATACAGGTACATGTCCTCTACTACCTTTAAATACCTCTACTGCGTATTTAAAAATACAGCGGGGGCAAAACTGAGTATGACTGTGCTTTATTCATGTATTTATTACAAAGTATTAATCAAACCTGGCAGCTGGCCGTGAGACAGACACATCGCAGATGACAGAGCGCTGTGATCACTCCTAAATTAACTTAAAATCCTGAAACCTGCCGACGGAATATGTTCGCTTTTATTACCGGTATTCTGGTGCCTGCAGTTTAAATTATTTAGATGAAAAACACCTGCCAGCCACCGCGTGAACCCGGAGGCTGCCCAGCCTAGAGGCTGCTGATGAAGGGATTTCTACTGTCGGTGTACCGCTGGTATGTGGGGGTCTGAGCGCCTCCGACAGAAATAGTATAGGCAATTATGAAGTTTTCAGGTGGACTTTCTCACTTAAAAACATATTAAAACTACTTTATTCCCACTGATCACAGCAAATATAGCTGCAAGATTTAGATTATTTAGATGAAAAAACACCTGCCAGCCACCGCGGTGAAGAGGAGGAGACCCGCCCAGAGGCTGCTGTTGAATTAAGTTTTCAGGTAGAAAAATTGAGCCGGAGCAAAACTGAGTATGATTGTGCTTTATTCATGTATTTATTACAAAGTATTAATCAAACCCATCAAAGTCATCATCCTCTGTTTCTGAATAAAACAGCTGCGCTAAATCAGACATGCCAATTTCCCCTTCTTCGCTGTCAGAGTCACTTTCCGTGCAGCGCAGCTCCTCAGAAATAATGCTGGCTTTTGCGAAAGCTTGAACAACAGTGCCAGCAGACACATTAGTCCAAGCATCTACAATCCATCCGCAAACGGTGGCGTAACTTGCCCGGCGCTGCCTTCCACTTATCCTGAAACTGTGGTCTCCGTCTGTCATCCATCGCTCCCACGCCGCTCGCAGCCTTACTTTGAACGGCCGCTTCACACCGATGTCGAGCGGTTGAAGTTCCTTTGTCAGACCCCCGGGATAACGGCGAGCACAGCGTTCATTTGATTCACCTTTTTTTCACATCAGCTGTGAGATGGGCACGCATGCAGTCACAGATTAACAGTGATGGTGATGCGTGGAAAAAAACACCTGGTCTCCTCACATACACCTGCCTCAGCCACGCTTTCATCATCTCCTCATCCATCCAGCCCTTTTCATTTGCGTTAATATCATATGTCATCAGAGCGCTGTGTCTGTCTCGCTCTCAGCTCCCAGATCAGCTTCTCTGATTGGTTGATGCGGCACGTCCAGCAGCAAAACTTCAATTTTTCCATCTCGAGCAGCAGCAGCGCGTTGGCGGTGCGTCAGATGCTTAAACGCTCTCGACGCGCTGCGCCTGCTGCTCAAAACGCGCTGCGGGACCTTTTGCTGCACCTATACGCGCATCAACCATTGACTTTGCACGTAAACTCGCTGCTTCTGCTGCACCTGCTGGGTCCGGTTCACACCGATGTCGAGCGGTTGAACAGCGAGCACAGCGTTAATTTGTTTCCCCATGTTTTTCACATCAGCTGTGAGATGGGCACGCATGGAGTTACATATTAACAGCGATGGTGAGGGGTGGAAAAAAAACACCTGGTCTCCTTACATTCAGCCACTCTTTCATCATCTCCTCAATGAGGTGGTCTCAAAAGTCGCAGTTACAACACACATAGGGCGCACCGCACCATAGGGCGCACCGCACATTTTGAAGGAAAAAAAAGACGTTTCAGTGCGCCTTATAGTCGTGAAAATACGGTAGGCTCTCATAGTTAATGAGTACCTACGATAATATCTAGAGCCCTTTCTCTCCTCTTTGGAGAACTTCCACAACAGGTTTAATAAATAGTTTTTTTGCCCAGCGTTATAAGTCTTGGTCATCCTTTACAGAGATGGAACGACATTTTTAGCCAATATTAGCATTTTTTACTTGCTTTTATATCGGACATGTGTTTACCAATTTAGCAGCAATGCCTTGAGATCACCTCAGGCCAATGAACTACCTCTCCCTCTGTTTGCTACAGATGTTCTTTTTTAGTTAGTTTTTGTTTTTAATTAAGACTTGTGTAACATTTGTTATCGTGTCATTTTTATAATGCAAATGAAGGAAAAAAAAATTATTTCTAAAGAAAAAAAAGGAGATATCAGGGGATCAGTTAAAATCGATATCAAAATAACTGGTATATGTTGAATGGGAAAATGGAGCGACTACAGACGCAAGGAGAATACCTTTCTTGTATCCAGATAAATATGGTCAC